TTCCTTATATGGAGCTGGAACGTCCCTTCTTTCAGTGTATAACTATCATGACTCATGGTTATTGATGTCACAAAGAAAAAAAAAAATATTTTGAGCTCAGACAGTCTGGCTTTTTGCAGGAAAACTCCATCTTAGGATAGTTTAGCTAGTAGAATCAGTTTGATATTCCATTAACACTTTCAAATTTTTCTGCATGCAACCCTGATCTTGGGATCTTAGATGATACTACTAATCCTTTTGTTGTGTCCAGAACCATACAGACAAGCTTAAGTGAGTCCAGGAAAATAGCATTTTTTGGCTCACAATAAAACAGCCAAAGAGAGAAAGGGGAAAAACTCTAAGATTACTTGAAGTGATCTGCTTACCTTTCTGCCTAGATCAAGTCCTGCGGTCGTCAGGAAGTTCCTAGTGGAACTTCTGTTCAAACTGTCGTTTAAGAAAATATGGCAGAGCAAATATGTTGCCATAATCTGCTGCTATTCTGCAGTTATTGCTTGTTATGAATATTCTTATACTGTAGTAAATGCAAACTAGGAGACCCCATGTTCTGATTTGACGAAAGACTATTTCTTACATTCCTACCTTTAGTACAGTAGCATGCAGCTTTCCAGAAACTGTGAATATGCTTTTGCTGTTTAACATGTATGATGAAAGGGAAGAAAATATCACTTTAGTAGCAAAGACCCTGTGGATCACAAGGATATAGCTACAAATTTAAAATTGATGTGGAAGAAATCTACACATCTCTGAATCTCTCACCTTAAAATACAGCTGTAGGTTCTAGGCATTTGAAAACTGGGCAGGCAAACAAACTAATAATGTATGTTTATCTCTTAGATTAATGAGAGGCTATTTAAATGTTTGTTTATAAGTGAAATAAATTAGCCATAGCATTTTAGCTTTTATTAATATTTACTTTGGGAAAACATACTGCTGCTCTTGAACTATGATACTTTTCTTTCAAAAAAGTGATTTGGAGATTTTATCTTCAGTGTCTTAGTACTTCACAAAGTGCTTCTATTTTTGCAGAGGGAAATGCGTGGAAGTATCACCTTTAAGATCGTGCCAAGTTATCGCACACAGTCTTCATCCTGTGAGGTAATGAATTTAATGAACCATCCCATTTCTTCCTCAGTCCTGTAACTAACTGCCTGCTGATGGCTGAATGTTACTGCTTTCTGGGAAATTGTTTCTGCCTGTCCTGTTAGATCACGCACACCAATTTTACAACAAAGATAACGGAACACGAGTAGGTCCCACCTACCTACTCAGCCCTGCCTTCATATTCATCTCATCAGCACCTTAACTAACTCTTTACAGCCTTAAAAAAAAAAAAAAATAGGAAAGGGGATCCTCATCTCATGTGTTTAGGAAGCCCCTTTAAAAAAAATTACAATTTAAACTCATTCTTCAGGAAGTCTATTAAGGTTCCTAAGCTGAGAAACAATCTTGATCTTTTTAGGCATTAAACATTATTTTACTGCTTTGGGCTGTTAAGGGTTAATTGAAGAATCTGTTTCTGTATAACCCTGTTGAGGTAAATTTGTGATGGTTGTCTGTAACAGTTACATGTAGCTTAATATTATGTTTCCATGAAAAAAATTGTATTTATCATTGCAGAAGAAAAACAGATTTGGAGTTAGTTCTTGTTGAACTAGAAACTTGGTATTATGGTTTTTTGCACAGTAACATTTAATTCCCTTCTGCTCACAAAGTTACGTTCCAGATTGCAACTGAAGGGAATTAAATTCTAGAAGATGGCTACTTCAGAGATACTGTTCCAATTTAAGCGTACAGATGGCATATGCACTATGTAGATGATGCCAGTCTTTCGGTCCCACATGCTTAACTGCGCAATCAGTTCCCAAATTAGAATTCCAACAGTGAAATCACAATCCCTGTTGAAGTCAACCACCTTATCTTAATTAGAGATGTGATTTCACCCTAGTTGTTTCTATGTCTCAGCAGATGCTGGAACATGCAGAAACTGCTATTGTCATTGTCAGAACAGTCTGTTTGAAAGAAAAAAATTACTGCTTTTTGGTTGCCTTCTGTACTTTTAATAGAAGTCAACAAGAACTAAAAGGTTTTAGAGGTAGAAGGTTTGACAAATTTTCACCTAAGAGCCTGATTTTCTTAAAAGGTATAAATATGAAAGCAAAAATTTTTCATTAAATGCAAAGGCTTTAAAAAAAACTCACTAAAATAGAAATTTTAGAGTGTGCTAACACATTTATTGTCTTCTGTGCTGTAAATAGCAGTAAAAATAAAAGGTATCTCAATCTTCCCAATATTAAAATACAGAAACTGGTGAAATTATATACCTACTAGGAAGATGATTATTGGGAGATAATTCAGCATACAGCTTTAAATTAATACCATTAGGTGTCATTTTAGTAGTAGCAGTTCATCTCTTTTCCTTAGATTTGTGTCCTTAAGTTCTTCATGGCTAGTTATTTCACAGAAGAGAGGAAAATGGACTCTCACCTTTCTTTGGAAAAAAACAGCAAAACTAGAAATGTGTGGTCAAAGAGGGTAAAAAATAATCACGTTTAATTATCACACTTTTTAGTGTGACATTTAGCATTCATTCAGAGATGCCCGAGTCTATTTTACCTGCTTGGTCACATCTATGACTGGCTAGTTTTTCAACTGTTATGACTGTACAGAAAAAGCCAACATTTTTAAATCATCCTATTAAAGCATCACTAGTCCTTTGGTACAGAGATAATTTCTTTCACAGAATTTTTCAGGATTATTATTCAGACAATGAGTCAACTATCTTAACCATTGATAGAAGCTAAAATTGAATGTTAAAAGACATTACTAAGACACAAAAATCTTGCTTCTAACGCTCTCCAGCAGGATAAATTCAGAGATATTCGGTCTTCACTAGTACACTCTTATTAGTTAAGGTATTTTTTGGCAATACTTCAGATATTTCTATAAATTATATTTGGTTCCCTCCCCTGCCCTCAGTCATGGACTGGTGCTCACATAGTGTAGTTTTACCAGAAGAGGAATATAAAACAGAATCAATGAATGTGTTGGGTTTTTTTAAGGCTCCTACCATGATCACGTCATCAGCTTGCAAAATATCTTGTTAATCTTCAATAAGAAAAACTAAATAGTAGTAGAATCAGATGTGATCTGCCTTTTATATGCAGTCTACCAATATGCCTTTATAGATAAAGGTGAGGTGGGGGTGTTTTGGGGGGGAACCTATTTTTAAGATAACTGAGATTTGCATGTCACTTGCCATATTTTTCATCTTTTGTGGGCATCTAAGAAAGTGTTGTGGTGGTGGTGTTTTCTAAGTATTAAGCCACTTTTGCATAGTCTTATCCCTATAGTATGTGATAGTACTTCAGTGTCACTAGGCAGTTTACTAAATCTCAACTGAATAATTTCAAGTTTTTTAGGGATTTTGGCTCTTTACTGCCTCATGCCTTCCGTTCAGTTACCAGGCCTTCTGTTTCATGGAGTAGACTTTGCGTGAAAACATACTTAGGAATTCCCTTTTATAAAAATTTGATCAGCTGATCTACCGTGAGATGACCTTTTTGGTGTCACAAATGGCCTGAGTTACTCAGCTGTCTAGATAACACAGTGGTTCACACACCCAGAAAATTACAGACTTACATAAATACGAATTTGAGTAATTATTGCAACGCATTTTTCGTATGGCTAATGACTGTGTATACTGTTTATACATTTCAGCTAGTACTTTATCCAACTGAGTAAATATTTTGCTCTAGCTACATTTGCATTCTTACTTCGTACTGACAAAACACACCAAGTAACTTTTTGTAGTGTCAGATCTGTGTAGATGTGGCACTTTGAGACATAGTTTAGTGGGCATGGTGGTGTTGGGTTGACAGTTGGACTTGATCTTAAAGGTCTTTTCCAACCTTAATGATTCTATGATTCTATATGTGAGAACGGTAAAGGAAGTTTGGGGTTTTTTTTAAACAAACAACTTTCCTTATAAACATCTTTTATGTTTCAGATTGTGAAACACTTAAGTCGCTTCATTAAGACAAAAAGCCTTCATATATATGAGATTTTAAAAATCTGGTGGTAATCACCATGGATTTTTCTTCCTTTAGCCTTGCTATTTTTCCACTAGCGCTCAGACTATAAGATTTTAATAGTCTTAAACCTTTTTACACTTGTATTAAAAATACTTCCAGAAAGATTCCTTGAGTAAGACTGAAATTGAAATATATTTGCAGGTTTTTTGAAAGTCTCTCTCTTAAAAAAGATAGAGGTTTTTGTGGATCTGGCAACAGTGTCATTAATCTAGCTGTCCTTGTTGGTATCTAATTTGATCAGGCCACATCTAGTAGGCATAACTGACATCTGCTATAGAAGTGCATCTCAAATGCATTGATTTATCATTCATAATCCACACCTAAGAACAAGGAATCAACAGGAAACTAGTGTTGCCATTGTTTGGAAATAATTGTGATTGTTTCTTCAGCTGCTTGAATTGAAGAGCAAGGATACAAAAGACTGCCGTTCTGTTATTTGGCTTGGGTCTAGACAAGATTGGGAAGTCTAGATAGTCCAGTTAATACTGAAATACGATGATAACACTTCTACACTACTCAGAATCGTTGGATCTTCCAGATGTTTTTCTGCTCATATCCCAGGAGAACTAGGGAGAAACAAACTCAAAACCAAAGCCCAGTTCTAAGCAGTACTAGCATTCTACAAGGGTCTCTCTACTCATTGATTTGTCTCATTAGACTATGCGTAATACAGTTTTTATCTTAACTTTTGAGTTTGATATTTTTTTGAAAGAAAAACCAGGTCTCTAGGAAATGAAGAATGTAAATGCCTTTGAAATTGCGGCTGAACTGCCTAATTATTTAAAAATTGTACTTATGCCTCTTGACTAGCTTGATAGATTAATTTCTTAAAGTTAGTACTGAAATCACTGATAACACTGAAAATGTGTACTTTCCTCAGTATGTTACGCTGAACACTTGCTTTGAGAAATATGCTGTCTTCTGTTGAGAATTGTGGAGGAATACAAATCAAAATATTCTCAAACCAAGAAAATTTCCTTGAAGGGGAGAAGCCTTCAAAACAGTCCAGAAATAGTAGCATTCTCCAAGTTACTCTAAACTTCTTTTTCTCCAAATGATGCTTTTATCACTTTCCAAAGCTTTCCCTTGATAAACCATCACCGACTAGCAGATCATAACAAACTAGGTTTAAAAAAAAGAAAAAAAACGTAATATTAATTTTTCACCACTTCTTGAAAGTGAGAAATTGGCAGAGCCAGAATTGCAGAGCAAGCAGAAAATCTCTTTATGGAAGAAGGAAGTCACTGCTTTTGTGAAAAGAAGTATCTAGTATCTCCTAGCTGCTATTTGATGATAAAGGTGATGCTGATAATACCATACACACACACAAAAAAAAAGAAGGAATAACGGTTCCTTTAGGCTTTTTCTTTTTTCTTTTTCCTTTTTTTGTTTTCCCCAGTAAAGGAATAGCTTATTTGGTCTTATTTGAACATTTCAAACTTGTTATGCTGGAGTGATTTTTTAAACAGAATTAGAGCTGATTTCCCCCAGTCTGTTACATGTTGCAAATAACACTGGGAGCCAAACGAGCATTTTGTTCTTATGCCTGTAGCAGAAGTATACAGAGCTACATACTTTGAACCACAATGATTTTACAGCTGTAATATTGTCATATCTGTCCTCAACTATGTTAAAATCAACACAAAAGTTTAGATAGCTACATCTAGAACTTTCTGTGAAATCATATCTAATGAGTCCACAAAATGCAGAAGTTCTACATGAGTTTGTTGCACATCAAGTGTACAGGCAGCAAGAGTGATGAAGTATGGCCTATCAATTTAACTTTTCTAGGTGCTTTAAAATAGGTACGAGTGCTGGCACATAATTAGTGTAAGTTCAAGAATATTGATAGAGGACCTTTACCTGATTAATGTTGTTGCGTGAACAATTTAGCTCCAGTTCTGGTTTTTAATTTGTTCACAAAGGGCACTTGTGTTGCTAAAATCTGCCAGGGATAACTGTGTTTTCTTTGAAAACTGTTATCGCTCTTTTTTCTACTATCCTTGACATTATGTAAAATTACCAGACATTCCTAAATTGATCTTTGACATGGAATATTATATTCCAAAATTCCTGTTGGGGGTAAAGGGGGTTATTATTTTTTTCACAGTGTATGAGTGAATTATGTTGTTTCCTGAAGAGGTGGCTCAATTATCTGATTGTATGGAATTAAGTACTATACAATCAAAATGGCATGTGAAAAAGATTATTCTGCAAGTGACTTTCTTGCTTCTGCAAAACCCAGTCACTTTTAAATTGTGAAGTCAGAACTTCCTGTTATCCTTTCTGTAGAATTTCTCCCGGTATGCACCCTGCATCTTCTGTCCCCTCAGCACACTGTAGGACCACACTGGTAGTCTGAGTCAAGAGAGGTGGCTTTTTTAAAGTGATATATTTTGGCAAAGTTTAATGTTTTTAAGCCCATAAGAAAGTTGGAGGAAAAAAACACCTCAGTATGGTGTGAAATGGATGAGAAGGGAGAAGAGAGTATCCAGCTTCCTTCTCCGATGTCGGCTTCAGTGTCTTTGAGACACTGCATAGAGATGCATCCTACAGAGTAGAAACCGATCAACGCTGAGCTCCACCACGTAGCTGACAAAAGATTTAGAAGTGTTTTTAAAATGGAGTATGTGCCTCATTCTATTCAAAGTATTATTCGGCATGTTACTTTCAGGTAATTACCTTTAACAAAGACACCAGTATGACTAACGGCCTTTGGCATTGTCAGCCACATGAGATCGAGGAGGTCTCAGATACTGAGTAATTAAAAAGCTCTTTGATTGCTAAGGCAATGTAAAAATAGTTATTACCTAGGATACATCAAAATGTCAAACCTGAATCTTAAACTGTGAAAAAACTTTTCAGAATTACGGAGTTTGTAGGGTGGAAACTTTCGCAGATGAAGCAGCTAAGCAAATGGTTATAAGGCTGTGGATGTAACTGTTCTTTTAAATATATCTGTGTTCCTGTGATAGTGTTGTGTTGTTAATGAACCTTGTGTCTTATTTCAGAGAGATTCCCCCTCTACATCCAGACAGTCCCCAGCTAATGGTCATAGCAGCACTAACAATTCTGTTTCGGTAAGATTTCCAGTTCCACACAGAGAAAGTGTGAAAGTTTTGTTGGTGCTCATCTGCCATTACTGTTATACTTATCGTGTGGTCAGTGGAAAATTTTGTCCTGCTGATAGAACCAAGGTTATTACATATGTAACTCCCCATTTTCCTTTTTTAAGGGTTTTTTCCAACATATTCTTCTCATTAAAAGCCATATAGCGAATTACATATGAATAACTGTAATGTGACACTTCAATCATCCTTAAATCATTGTTAGCAGTTTCCTCAAAACAAAGCAAAGGTTTAAAGTGGAAGTTTAATTTCCATGCTGAACTTTGGAAGCAGCGTTTGCATAAAGAATAACTGTGCAGTTGGTATTTCAAGACATTTTAGCCTCTTTTAAGTTTTGTGTTTTGAGAGACCTCTGGAACGTGTACTGGTTTCCGCTATCTGCGTTAACGAATTGGTGTGCCCTCTGCTGTTGTGGTACGTGCACATACTTTGTGAAATCTGAGCCTTGCCTGGATATGAAAAGCAAAAGGAAGTGGCTTTAAACTGCACTACAAACCAAGCTATTATCATCACATCTTTAACACAAAGTACTTCTGTTTCCTATGTATTCAGGTAGAATGGTGCTGTCGATCTCCTGTTTTTCCAAAGTGTATTAATGTTAAAATTTGTGTTGTTTATCATTTGTCATTGTTCGGACCGATGTAGTAACTGTACACCCAAGTTCCTTCAGTAAGAGTGTTGTCAATATCATGAGTTCGTGGGACTAGCTAAAAAAAAACCAAACCTGAGTAACTACTCCTTTAAAAAAATTACAACTTAGAAATTATTTGCCACAAGGTAAAGTGCTTATTAACTAATACAATGAAAAATAATTGTGGATGAAAAATTTACGAAAATTTTGTGAATTCAATTGTATTTGTAACATGATTAGTAGTTACAGTCTTATTCCTTGGCACAATTAATCACATTATACATTTTTAATAATAATTTTTTTAATATTTATAATAGCCATCCTCTTTTAAAAACAAGACTAAGTATTAAGTGGAAAAGGCATTCACATAAAGAGCCTCTTTCACTTGATGGTGCTTTTGTGTTGAAGATGCTGAATTATTTATTAAAAAGCACATTCTCTATCTGCTTAAACTTTTTACCTGCTTTCTTCAGCTTGCTGCTAAACAGCCTGGGTTTGATTTTTCTTTAAGAAAAAAAACATTTCTAAACATGGGTCAGTGCTTTATACTTTTGTCTGACTTACCATTTTACTGTAATGTAGTATGAATCACTAACAAATGGTGTTGTATACCCTTAAAAAGTAAAATGAAAATTTCTTCTCCTGGGTTGACTTTATTCTGCAGGACTTGCCATCGACAACACAACCAAAAGGACGACAGGTGAATAGATATCCTCCATGGGAATTTTTGTAAACTTAGCTGCTAGTGAACATCCCTGCTTATCTTTCCCCCCTTCATAGTCTGTATGTGCTGGACTAAAACATTTAAGCTTGGAAAAATTGTTCCATTTTTTTCATTTTTCTTTTTAACTCATTTGTTTGTGGCTAATTCAAAATAGCATTTTTTTCATGTGTCCTACAAAGTCATTGTAAATTTAACTGGAGATGTTTAGTTCAGAATGCATTAATAGACTTACTGTTGTACAGTGACCTGTGCAGATTTTCATCTTAGAGGAAAGCTCAAATTTATATTTTAGCTGAAATGGAGACTAGTAGGGCAAGTGTTGACTCTAAAACATTGTACTGACAAAGATTCTAAAGCTTGAGTTGTCTATAACTAATTATTAACATTAACAAAGCTCTTCAAAGAAAAACATTAAGGACAATTTCTATTAAGGGTTGATAAGTCTGAAGATAGCCTCTTAAATTTGCAGTTCTAAGGCTCAGATTCAGTAACCTCCCTTAACTTTGTTACCTTGACCTGATAGTAGCACACGTCAGCATGGACCAAAGAAAGATCTTCCCTCTCCAGCAAATTCCAAGAAAGCCCTTAAGTGCCCTGCAGAGAACTCCCTGTGATTCCCTTTGCAATTTTAAGAGGTTTTTTTGCTGCAGCCTCCAAATCAACGCATACCATCAAGTGATTTGTGATTCATCTTCAGTAACTGCTCCATTTATATATAGCCCTTCTAGAATCTGCCTCTGAATTTTTAACCATGGACTCAACCTCTTTCTCTACCAAGAGTTTTAATAATAACTCCTGCAACTCCATTCAAAAGAGTCAGTGAACTCCATGATCTGTTGTCTTTGAAAATGTTTTTATACTATTGTCTGGTTAAGTTGGCTGGAATATCTGTTACAAGAATGGGTTGCTCTCACTTTGTTTCCTGTGTTCAAAGCTTATAGCTATATGGTTCTTTCAACTTTCAGTCGTCTTCTGAAGTTTCCAGCTGCCAGAATGTAGTCCTGGAAAGGCTCCGTGAGAGCCCTTCCAAGCTGTTGTGTTAGCTTTTTGCTTACCTCTCATAAGGTGTTTTTCCCAAGAGAAGAGGCTTTGTTCAAGGCAATATCAGAATAATGGTGTTCCTTGTACTCGCACCATTTATAGTTACCTGTGGTTTTCCAAGAGTCCTTTCCCATTGAACCAGCATATTCTTCCAGTAGCTTGTCATTCTTGAAGACAGTAAGGGCTTAGATAACAAATATATTGCTGTCTGTAAGGAAGTCTGTAATGTAAGTGCCAGTATGTGGTGGATAATGGTTCATACTGGAGCAGGAACTTGAAAAGCAAGGAAGTTTCTAGATAGTAAAAATACTGCTTACGTTTCTAGACCTATATTAGATAAGGTTGAGGGGATATAAGGGATTGGTTCAATACTGATTACTTCATGGAAAGCCAATTACTAAACAAATGTAGTTGGTTTCAAAATATCCTATTTTTCAGGTGATTAAAGGAAGTTGCATTGCTTGTCTAAGCTCACACACTCAATACAAAGCAGAACAAGGGTCAGATTTAGTATATTAAAAGTTGAGTTCTATATTGGTATTATCATCAGATGCTCGCACTGTAAATAGATAAAACTGCATCAGGCACAAAATAGAAATTATTAGCCATTTAAGTTAATTTATTCATATGTTGGGTTGCAGATTGCATTACTATAAAAATGAAGTTTTGGAAGTGCCGTGAATAGTGCTAACACTGCATAGTTACAGCTATTTTTGGAGCAGAATTTGAGCAAAGTTGAAAAGTGTTACCATTTAAATGAAGGGTATTACTTTGCAATGTGATTTTTTTTTTTTAATTAGTCAAATTTTAGTAAGAAAATCAGCAGTAGCTGATTGTGGTAGCTGATAATGGCTGTCTGAGATGCTATAGGGTGATATTTGAATTTCATAAAATGTAGAAATTGCCCATCTTGGACCTGACATTTAATTCCCATTTTAAGATCCTTGGATGCATCAGGGCTGTAATTAGCAACCAAAACTGGAGGTCACTTATTTTTATTTTCTAGGGTTGAGACCTCACTAACACACAAATCAAGGATCGGTATATTATTTTAAATTGTGAAGTCAGAATCTGAATTCTTTCTGTTAATGTTCCTTAGAGAATAATTTACTCAAATCGGTAGTTTTCTTTTATATGGGAGTAAGCTTTTACTGAAAAACCCACGCAGAGAATCCCCAGATCCCCCCCAAGTAACTACATGCGATAGGTGCAACACAAGACTTCCTATTAAATCTAAAAAAAAAAAGATACTAAATTTTCAGGGTAATTGTTAAAGATCAGTAATGTAGCCTAAGTCCTTTATACTGTCCAATAAAATTTCCTGTCATACAAATTTTTAAAACGTATCATGGGACTTTAGTTGGAAAGTACAGTTCAAGTTGTAAGCTGCTGGCTTTTAGTCTGTAGTGATTCACGATAGTTATTATTGACTTGAGGGACTCTTATCAGTTTATTACATAACTTCATTTTCACTGTTCTGGTTTTACAGTATGTAGAAGACATGAGCTTTCAAAATAACATCATATGTCTCCATTATTTGCTGATGGTTTTTTTTTTTTTCTGTTTCACTTTCAACTATCATTTATGCTTTTGCCATTCTGTTTCTTCCTTTGCTTGTTGCAAACAGTATGTGTAGCTACATGCACAGCTCAATACTGTATCAGTAATAATATTGCAGTGTCTTTTATAAACTCTTTTTTATAGATATATGTAAGAGCACAATTTGAATATGATCCAGCAAAGGATGACCTCATTCCTTGCAAAGAAGCTGGCATCAGATTCCGAGTTGGTGATATTATCCAAATCATTAGCAAAGATGATCACAACTGGTGGCAGGGTAAACTTGAGAACTCCAAAAACGGTACTGCAGGTCTTATCCCTTCTCCTGAACTTCAAGAATGGTATGACTTAAGTTTTCTATAAAAATGAATTTATCTTTGCTTTTATTTCTGTCTTTCCCACTTGTCATTGTTGTAGTTTTTTTAGCTAGTTTTTGTATAATTTTTTCTTTTTTCAAAAAAAAAAAAAGTGTCTATTCCCTCAGTTTGTGTGGCATTGATTTTTTTTTTTTCTCCTGTATGCAGAGCAGTAAGGGTTGCATATGCAATATCGTATGTGTGGTTACATTAGAAAAACACCTTTGTTAGTAAGCATTGTTTGTGCTTTCTGATATACTATAGGAAACGAGGATTAAAGGTTGCATACAAATGGTTTATGTAAGGGGGTCAAATTAATTTCTCTTTTAGGTTCTAAACAGTGTTTTCATTAGTACTGCTTACCTCCAAGTGCTGCAGGAATAGGGTGTTAGCCAGACATGAAGCACAAAAGTCACTGATTTTGGGGGTTTCTCTCCTTTTCATTTTTAATGTGAAAGCCAAAAAGTAGAAAGAAATCAAAGTGCAGAGATTCCTGAATGACAGATTCAATGAACAGCAATGGCACTGAGTACCACAAAATGTAGAGCCTTTAAACAACCTCTTGCAGAAGCTGTTTAGTAAATTTTTACATGTATCGGCACAAACTCTGGCAAACAAATCCTGGCCCATGAAAGTTATCACCTGAACTCAAGAAAGTTTATCAATATGGATAATCTAGCCCAAAATACTTCATACAAGATTTGCTACGTAAAATAATTAGAGTGCTGTAAAGGGTTTAACAGCACCTTGTGCCACCTGGACTGGCTAAGGGGAATTTTGCTAGAAGAGAAACGGAGGTAGACGAGACATTTCATTCCATCTGAAGAGCTCCTTTGCAAGCCCTGACATAAGGCAGACACTGGTATACACCGCAACAGGAACACTTGCAATAATTGATCCTAAAGATCAACCTCAAAACAGTTCCACGACACAGCACAACTTCCTCTGAAGTAATTTAGACCGTAGTGGTCTTTCTGACCTTGTGCTCTTCCAGTCTAATCTGCTGCAGAGTGTTCTACAGCCGTTTTAGTAGGTACCCTCCCTCCCATGCTCACTTCATCTGTGAGCTTTAGTGATCCACCACTAAGAAGATATTCTTTATATCAAAATACCTCTGTATACAAGTGCTTTTAAGTCATCCAAAGAAAGGTGTTGAAAAGTGTTACTGTACTCTTGTATTATTAAAAAGTCTTATTTTTCTATTTGATGTGGCTTCTTAAAAATACATTGATTACAACAAAAAAATTTTTTCTCCTCCATATACCAGGCGAGTTGCTTGTATTGCCATGGAGAAGACCAAACAGGAGCAACAGGCCAGCTGTACTTGGTTTGGAAAGAAAAAAAAGCAGTACAAAGACAAATATTTGGCAAAGCACAATGCAGGTATGGAAAAAAAAAAAAGCAAGCAAGCATCTTTAACAGGTTAAATTTTTTACAGTCTAAACCTTGCCGTTAATTGTTCAGCTGGCACTGTTACATAAACCTAATGAGTTACTTAGAAAAATATAAGTAAAATTCCAATTATGCCAACATTACTCTGCTTGTTCTTTGCTATTTAAACATATATCTTAATCAGTGAGTGGAAAGCTGCAACAAACTAAATGCATCATAATATATCCTAATACAGGCTTACATTGATTTGGTTTTTATATTTAAAGGAGCACTAGAAACCAACAGGATATGAATTTTGCAATCTATGTAACTGTACTGTGCTCTACTGAAGACTTTTCAGTAGCATCCTTGTTAATATGTGTTTATAGTTACAGATTATATATGTGAAAACATCATGAAAGGGCATTTTTCTCTAAGCGTTACAGCTGGAAGTGGAATAAGATCCATTGCATAGTCAGTGTGTTGTTTACAGTTACCAAATAAAACGAACCGTGGAAGTTTATCCTCCTTGCAGTGATTTCTTCCTGAATCCTAACTTTTGGTTTTCTCTTTAGACTGCTGAAAAATTTAATTGTTTCAGAAAATTTTGAAAGTAGAAGAGTAGAGTAAGAGATCCTTGCTGAGCAAAATTCATTGGTTCTAGTAGTAAAGAAGGAAGACCTCTTCATTCATGAGCAGAATTTAGTTCTTCTTTTAATATAAAATACTCGATGTGTTGAAACTGTTTCTATTGCTTTTGCATTGATATCACATACTGTGATGATAAATATGTTGTTGTGGTCTCTTTGGAGACTTGCAGAGATTTTTATTAGAATTAAAAGATATACCTGTCCAAACATTGTAATGAAAGTATTTTTTATATTGCATTAACTTCTGGGGTTTTTTTCAGTTGCATTCTTGAATGCATCAATTAAACAATATAAATCTATATTTTCACGTTTCTCCTTACCTGTATAATCTGTGTGCAGTATCAGAGCTCATAATGTATCAGTACTACAGAGTTGTAGTTTACTTAAAAGTAATTTGAAAATAAAATCTAAGAAAGTGAAAGAACAGTAATTGTCATTAATACTCCTTATTTCATTGTCATATTTAAGATGTTCACAGTTAAATATAAAATTACTCGTTACCCTGAAAACCCTAACAAGTAGAGATTGAAAGTTTTAACTCGTTTCCTTCCTTTTGCTGGTTTAACATTTTTTAAGCTTCAACTTCATTGCAGTAGCACTAAACAGTGTTTTACTAATTATCACCTTAACAAAAACTGTTGAGAATAAACCGGATTTTATGACCTAAAATCTTTCACAGTACTGGTTTTAAAGTAGTATCAGTTGCTCCCAGCAAACATTCCCACAGCGTTGCTACTCCCTTCAGTTGTGGCACCGTAACTTTGTGTGGCCATGCCGTTAACTGGATTAACTGAAGAACAGCCCAACAAAAAACGTTGGTTCTTTTACTTTAGGGCAGGCACATTTCCTAATACAGTTCACGGTGCAACTTGGTAGTTACGTCAGTGTGACTGAGCACAGTTGCTCCAACAGAACAAGCACAGGAAGGAGGATGGCCAGGGACGGAGCGGGCAACACTTCAGGAGAAAAACTAGCTCAAAGACTTTGTAACAACTAAATCCCTGAAAGGAAGATAATGTCGACTTTCCTATCTTGATGTAGGGGGGCATTTTGGAGAAGGCTGACGGCACTTTGCGTCACACGGTTTGCCTGCCTCTGTGCCTGCACCATCAGTGCTGTTCGTCACTTTACATCAGAGCATCTATTTTTTTACCAAAAATTAGAAACATGAACGTTAAAAATTATCAAAATGACCATAGAAGAAACTGTTCTTTTCAGAATACCATCCAACACTTCCCCTTCCTCCTAAGAAGTCAAAAAGTTAATGAAAGCACAGCTTGGAATGAAGATTTCTCTTAGAAATGTTTATTGATTGTAGTGTCCTTGAGGTATTAAAGGTGATGCCAGTAATATTGCAGGGAACGATGCCAACTGTAGGATATGAAGAGGTTCACTTAAATGCGATGGTGCGTACATGAATTTAACGAAGGTGGTACTGAATTTACCTTCTCTGAACTGCTCTCTCGTGTCTCATACTGTTAGTCAGAAGTATGGCAACGCTGGCTTTTGCAAGCTTTCAGCGCATCTGTCTGGGAATAAAAAACAGATCTTTTCTTCTGCAGGATCCAAAATAAGTATAATTACTTTGGAACTGAGAAGTCTAACCCAGATGTCAAAATGTTGCTGTTACAAGAAAGTAGAAGTTATTTCTCGTGTATCTTAGTATGAAATTCAATAAATCGTTTAGCAGTATGTAATCTGTTTGGACTTCCCTGTTATTTTTGTCTTAGGGATGAGACTGAACTAAGATTTGTGTGGCTGGCTAATGATTTGAGAGAGAGGATTTTTGTGTGATATATTGGGATATTACTGGAACTAGAAATTAAATTATTCTGCAAATCAAATGTAGTTCATTAAGTAAAGAAGATAATTTTTCAGTTAATTTTATAGTTAAAAGCAAATATATTCTCCTTTACAAGAAAAATATCATCCCGTTTTTCTTTCCTTCATACTTGATATTAGAGTATTGTGTCCTTCAAGAGACGCTTTTGTGATCATACATCTTATCATTATAAAGTCAGTTTCAAACCAAAGCCCACAGGAAGAATAAACATTTTTCATTATTAGGTTCTCTGACATTTTTATAAATGCTCTAGATATATACTGCAGTGATATCTAGCTATATTTTTAAATGTATTTTACTGAAATGTTCTTGCAGGTCTTCATAAAAGAACACTCTTTAAAACATACTAGAACAAACCAAAGTCCACAGGAAAAATAAACATTTTTCATTATTAGGTTCTCTTGACATTTTTATAAATGCTCTAGAGATATACTGCAGTGATATCTAGCTATATTTTTTAATGTATTTTACTGAAATGTTCTTGCAGGTCTTCATAAAAGAACACTCTTTAAAACATACTAGAACTATGCTTCATATTATGCATAATATAGAAAATTGCCAAGCTTTTATAAAATATGTTTATCATTTCTTAATGTGATTTATTTGCCTTGTGTTTAGACTATTGCATGGTAAAGTTTATTTTGTGCATATACTTTTTATTTTACTAATATATTACGAGCCATATCTCAATGACCCCTGTACATTTTTCATGCTGTCTTACTCCCAATGGCCTCTGTGCATGTAAGTAACCTGTCAAGTGACAATGCCTCTTTATTTGCTTCTTACTGTTTCCTTTCAAGAACTCCTTTTCTTTATTAGCTAGTAACAGAGAAGCATTAAACTTCAGTCTTTAACGTGCCCTGTATTCCTCATATTTTGTGTATATTAAAAAAATTAATCATTTTTCTTTTGCATTTGAAAACCCTACAATCATTAGTTAACTCCATGTAGACTGAGACACATCTTCTCCATGCTGCTAGTTTGTGATGAAAGCATTAATATGTATCATTTCTGTTGTTTGTTCCTGTTGTTTGTATCTAACATAATGTGGTTTTGTTCAAGAAGAAAATAAAGGATTGATTTTTTAATTTTTTCTTAATGGGAAAAGGTGCTTGCAGGCCTAGATGTTTAGAATGGTAAAACTGTTTAACTTCTTGTAGATCTTTAGCTCTTTCTAATATGAAATGAATTATTCATTAGTTTAAATAGTGTGAAGTTGCAAAAAGGACAGCAGTAAGAATTCCGTGTTTGTAGGTTTATGGAGTGGAAGAAAAATATCACTAAATTCTTGCTTCTGATATTTGGGGAAAGGTTGAAAGAGATTCTTCTTTAAGATGAAATTCAAAATGCTTCAAATGGACTAGGAAGTTTTCATATCTGTATCCTTTCAAGGTCTTAAAGAGTTGAGTACGTCAACTGACTCATTTGTAGTTTGACCAAATTGGAGTAGTTACACTTTTTCTATAGGGTAAAAAGACTGCTGTTGAATTGAAAAATCTGCCCTATAAAAAGAAATACATCAAGTTAAATACTTTGCTGCTTTAACTGTGACTTTAGTACAAAGAGCATGTGCTTTCTGGTAGGCTCCACAGTCTTAATGCTGATTTGGTGGCTGGAGACTTCTGGAGCAAGCGAACTAAAGCCCCTTCCACTGCCTACTTTCCTAAGGGGTTTTGGATGGGGGAGAGGGATATATCCAGACTCATCCTAAAAGATGGAAGGGATATAGTTGAGGTGGATACACCAGCTTAGGACTTGGAAACACTAATAGATGCAGTCTCTCCTCCCTTCTTTTTATAGCACACACAAATACAGAGCTGAAAACTCTTGTTCGTTATTCTGCTCACAATTGCTGATTTGTGTAGTATTTATAAATATAATTAACTGCCTCCTGGCTTCTTTTTTGCATTAGAATTCTGCAAGAATTACCACAGATGTTGTCTTACTGGGCACAGGAGGAATAAGCTGTTTTTAATGAACAAAACTGGATTTGTAAATCATTATATACCTTGGCAATTGACAATAGATTGATAGGCATGATGGAACTCATCCAATTTCAACTGCAGTTAAAGTTATTTCTGAAATAATACTTTTACAATTTTTCCCTAAATACAGTGGAGGTTCTTTTATGTAATGCCATCATTTTTCATTAGAATTCTTCATTCTGTCACAAGTTTTAAAAGCATGTCAAGTTAACTAGCACGTGTGTTTAAAGAGAACTCTAATTACAATTAATATGGTGATAGTTTTGAAGAATAAATACCACAAAGTATTAACACTCTTCTCTATAAATTTCTCATAGATCTTGTTAAAACATGATTATGGAAGTATCCCTATCTTTAGTGTAAATAGATGTTCTCATATTGTATTCATGTTGGTCACTGTCTACAGATTTTTCTTTAGTATTGCTATTTCTTAGGAATGCAAATGTGAATGGCATGCCATTTAGCTAATTTTTGTGGTCTGCTGAATACTGCATGAAAGGACATGCAAACTTTCCTGAGCATTTCAGTAGCTTTGTTACTGCTTTTTAGTAGTTTTTTAAATAAACACTTTCGTTAAAATTGCATAATGAAATGGTTTTATTTTCCGCAACATATTACTTTGTATTGTAAGCCTAAAACTTGCTAAAATTATAATTTGTAGCACAATTAATTATCACCCTTAATATGCCTTTTTTTCTTATCCCTGTGGGGGTTTCTTTTGTGTTTTAGTGTTTGATCAATTAGATCTCGTCACATATGAAGAAGTAGTAAAACTGCCAGCATTCAAGAGGAAAACACTAGTCTTACTAGGTAATTTTGAGTTGTTGTTATGAATGTAACAGCATAGTTTTGAACACCTTCTGGTGGAAAATTTGTAATTCATTTTTGTGTTGCGGATTAGGTGCCCATGGTGTTGGAAGAAGACACATAAAAAACACACTCATCACAAAACACCCGGACAGATTTGCTTACCCCATTCCTCGTAAGTAGCAAAGTTCAATGCAGTGCAGAATTGTTTGTAGGATCCTTCTCAACATACCCATTGTAGTACTACATGCGTTCAGTCCTGCGGAAGTGAATCCCATCTTAAAGGTGGGAACTGTGATAGGACTGTGTATATTTCTTCCTTTGTTTTTTCAGAGGGAGGGGTAGTAAGTAACACCCCTCTTACATGGAATGTTTCCTAGTATTCACAAAACTTCTCATTAAGCATGCTTCTCTCTACCCCAAATGTTTGTTAATTTAGAATCAAGGCTAAAACATTTTTCATTTTTCCGTGCTGATTTTACATTTACTGTTCAGGTAAGACTGGAACAGCCATGATGTTTAAAACTGTGTATAATTTCCACGAGAAGAAATATAAACTGGATTTAGAGGAAACCTTTAATGTGTACCTTGTCTGAATGTTTTAAATTGCTTTTCACAGCCTAGCCTTGCGTATTTAGTATTGTACTAAAATAACTTCAAGTTTCCAGAGATGACAATAAGAAAAAGAAAATTGCAATTAACTTCATTGCTTATAAGTGGGTTGTTACGAAGAGCACAGGGTGTTTTCCCTTCATGACAATCTCTGTCAATACCATTTGCATACCCTACCACATGATCTCTTGGAGATGCACCCATTTTCCTCAAGCTAGGCATTCTGAAAGGGCAGCATCCGGCAGCTAACTGTCCACTCTATTCAGGCTGACTTTAGAAACACCATACATGGCTCAGAAGTTACATTGATGAGCATTATGCATTCATGTAATTTTCTTTATACCTTGTTAGTGCTTTACTTTAAAATTGCACTTAGGTGTTTTTCTATCTATAAGGGTTTTGTTGCTAAAAGGCATTTTAAGAACTTACCTGTAAACCTATTTGGAAGGGGGAAAAGGATCGGTTGGCTGCTGATTTAAGTTCCCCAGTCTTGCTCGCTAAGGAGTTAGACAACGACCAGTGCCAGCAGAAGGAAAACAGAAAGATCTAGCCCTTTTGAAAGCATGAGCCATTAGATCACCCCAGCAGCAACATGAAACTGCACTGTTTGCCACACTACTGATTATATCTAGACACTAAAATCCTGGATTAGACACTTAAGAAGTGTGGTGCCGGGAGTATGTGACGTACATTGTACCCATCTTATTCAATACAGACAAGATTATATGGGGGGATGGGAGTAGTAACCCAGCAAATATGTTCTCCATTACAAGGAACTAAAACAGAGAGTCATAAATGTTTTACATTATGCTTTTCACCCAGTCTCTCTCAAGTACTAACTGTATTGCTGTGGGGAGGTAGAAGCTGAACTAGTTATTTTCTCTTCAAATACCTACTAAAGTGGACTCACCTATACCATGACGACCATGCCTTAGACTGCCCGCATTAGGTTCCTGCTCTGTGGAAGCCCTGCAATTACTTCACTGATTATAGAAGACTAAAAACACTAGACTGCAAATCAGGATAAAATTCAGGTGCTTAAGCATCAGTATGATGTTTAGATGCCTGGTTTAGACACCACCTGATCTGCAGCCTCTCTTCAGAAAAGCAATAGATTCCTTAAACTCCTGTGTTATATCTAATAGACCTGTGTGGATGTTTCAGATTTAAGGCATTTAGGGCATTTAAAATAGCATTTTATGCTGGTGTTTAGAGACCCAAATTACTTCCTTATGTTAGTGATATAAAATATATCACATAAAATATATCACGTACACTTTGAGTATTATGGGAACCTGATCTGTCTTTCAGCTGACTCTAGGTAACTGAGATTTTTCTCTCCACCTCTCAGGGATGGATTTTACTGAATTTTCTGCATTCTTCTACAAAACTGTGATACGAGTAGGTAGCTTTTGAGATAGACCTTAACTTGGGTGTGGAGTTTTGGGGAATGCTTTATGAAGAAACTACCTGCCTACTGAAAACCTGATCATATAGGTCATGTCATGTAAACGGTAATTAATTAACAGAATTAGTAGACCATACATCTCTTACCACTTAGGTCTGCAGAAGCAGTATGTTCAAAAAGTACGTTATTGCTAAGTAGCTTTCATCTCTCTTGACCACAAGTAATCAGGCCCTCATCCGCTTTTTAGACTTACAGTTTCACACTCAGAAGAAGAAAACCTCATAAGAATTTAAATTAAAAAAGAAAATACAGAAGTGTTTTTACAAAAGAGGAAGATTTGCGTAAATTGTTAGGTTCAGTAGACCTAGGGCAGCAGTGAGTAGTATAGTGATATTATACCGTTTATGTAATCCATTGTTCTTGGATTCCTTAAAATCAAAACTATGATCTATAATATTTCTATACATCTTTTCATCTTTGAAATATGCTCATTAATCCTCAGAACATTGCTAATTAATCCTCAGAATAGTAATAGGTATAATTAAAAATAGAATCTGAGTCCAGTTTTTGGATACCTTGTTTGAAATTACGATCAGGTTGTTGAAAGATAAGGGATTAGATTGGGAAGAGATACGGTGTTTCAGATATGTCACCAGCCTAAATGTGATAGTGAAAAAATATGAGAGTAAATCAGTTTGTGAGGGAATACTAGAAGAAAGAGAAGCAAGTGGATATCAGCGCGCCTATGTGGAAATGAGGAGCAGATGGCCTACAGAATCACAGAATGGTTGAGATCCCTACCTCTGGAGGTCATCTGGTCCAACCTCCCAGCTCAGGCAGTGCCACTTAGAACCAGTTGCCCAGGACCATGTCCAGGTGGCTTTTGAGTGTCTCCAGGGATGGAGGCTCTACCACCTCTCTGGGCTGTCTGTGCCAGTGCTCAGTCACCCTCACTGTGAAAAAGTGTTTCCTGGTGTTCAGACAGAAGTTCCTGTGTTTCACTGTGTGCCCATTGCCTCTCATCCTGTCACTGAGCACCACTGAAAAGAGACTGTCTCCATCTTCTTTACACCTTCACTTTAGATATTTGTACTCATTGATGAGGCCCCCCCTGAACCTTCTCTTCTCAAGGCTGAACAGTCCCAGCTCGCTCAGCCTTTCCTCGTAGGAGAGATGCTCCAATCCCTTCCAGTGCCCCTTCACTGGACTTTCTCCAGCATGTCTGTGTCTCTCTTGTACTGGGGAACCCAGAACTGGACACAGCACTCCAGGTGTGGCCTCACCAGTGATGAGTATGGGGGAAGAATCACCTCCACCTGCTGCCAATACTTTGTCTAATGCAGCCAAGGATACCATTAGCCCTTTCTTTGCAGCAAGGACACATCACTGGCTCATGTTCAACTGAGTGTCTACCGTGACCCCCCACAGGGTCTTTTCTGGAGAGCTGTTTTCCAACTGGTCAGTCTCCAGCAGGTACTGGTGCATGGGGTTGTTCCTCCCCTGGTATAGGACTTGGCACTTCCCCTTGTTGAACTTCATGAGGTTCCTGTCAGCCTGTTTCTCCAGCCTGTCAAGATCCCTCTGAAAGGCAACGCGACCCTCTGGTGTATTAGCTACTGCTCCCAGTTTTGTATCATTGGCGTCCTTGCTGAGGGTACACTGCCCCATCATCCAGATCATTAATAGAGATGTTGAACAGGATTGGGCCCAGTACTGGCCCCCAGGGTAAAATGGGGATGTTAATTGAATTGTTTAGAAGCTGTAAAAACTGTGAGATCTGGCCTTGGTTTGTTGTTGAAAGCAGCTGATAGAGTCTTACAGTCTTGACCAGGTAAAGGTTATTTATGACCTTCTGTTCTTCCTTTCTTACCGTTTGATTTTTACCTTTTCCACACCCCTTCATCTCCTGCTTTTCCCAACACATGTCCCCCAGACTCCTGCTTTTCCTAGCCTCTGTCATTCTGCCTACCCTGAGCTCATACTTCATTGTTCTGTATGTGATGTGACGGGTCATCATTCAGTGTATAAGTATTGATAAACCAAACAGAAAGCCACATATAAGCTTAATATTGCTTTTGTACTAAAAATATTTTGTATCTTGTATTTTCAGACACAACCCGACCTCCAAAGAAAGATGAAGAAAATGGGAAAAATTACTACTTCGTATCACATGACCAAATGATGCAAGATATATCAAACAATGAATATTTGGAATATGGCAGCCATGAGGATGCAATGTATGGAACAAAACTGGAAACAATACGAAAGATCCATGAGCAGGGACTAATTGCAATACTTGATGTAGAACCTCAGGTAAATAATTAGAAGTATATGAAAAACTCATCACAAATTCTTATTTTACTGAGCTATATTTATTTTTATTGATTGCACACTAGATAAGTAATGCATACAATCTGGAACAAAAGTCCCTGGGACATCAAGGTATAAATCTGTGAAGAAGAATTCTGGTAATGATCTGATTAGAAGAACATACAGCAGAAATAAATTCATTGTTTAGCTTGGTATGCAACTGGCCACCCGGGCACACTGCTGGCTCATGTTCAGCCGGCTGTCGACCAGCACCCCCACGTCCTTTTCCACTGGGCAGCTCTCCAGCTTTCTCTCAAGAAACACTAATAGTTTGTTCATTCATTATACAAAATCTTCAGTGAAAAATTCTGATACATTTACTTTGAAAGGTAGTCATGAGTTTCAATTCACAGGGATGTATCTATATGTTTTGTTAAGTGGAACAACATGAATAAGGACAAACGTGATGCTTATATTATTCTAGCCGATTGAAGTAAATGGGAGGAAAAACAAACCAAATTTGTGACTGGTGTTGTCTATTTAAATTTGCTGCCTTCTTTCTTCTTTGTGAATGGATTCAAGAAGTTCAAATTCTTTAAGAATTTCATAACAGAAATAAGATACCTAACTAATGTAGGACAGTATGCTGGTGTGGTGCTATGCTGAAAAATACAATCCCGCATGTAACAGTTTTCAGGGAGAGCGGCGTTTATAGTTAGTTCAAATGGAGCAGCTGTTGAAAGCAAACTCTCTTGATAAGCCTGTTCAACTTGGATTATTCAGAAGCATTACAATTCTCAGAACCCATTTTGGTCTTGATTAGAATATATTTACATTTGGTAACAGCCGCCTTTGCTGCGCTTCCTCCAGCATGTGCCTAGCAACCAGCTTCCTCATGCATCCATCTCAGGTCATTAAGGCCAGCCTGTCTCTGGACTTATTCCTAGTTATCTTACACTGCTTGCCTGTTTTCCCTCGGGTACCCTTAGTTATGTGAGTCTTCTTGACCTTCACATATGGGGTTTATCTCTTATTTGAAGAAGGTTGGCATAGATGATACGTATCGATGTGTTTCAAGCAGTAGAGATGAAAATCTCTTTAGCTTGGGAAAAGGTTGGATTGGGTTTTTTGTTTGTTTTGTGGTTTGGGGTTTTTTTGTAAACTTTGGGGAAGACAGGAAGTGGAAGGAGCAAAAAAAGACTGACCTTTAGTAGTCTTACTTTCTCTTGTCCATCCATTAGAGTTCAGCTGATGTATGTTTACTTGCGGTCCTGCACTTCAGCCTAGTTTGGATCTGTACCAAAGTTTCAGTTATGGCAGCTCTGTCACTGAGTACGTTATGACTAAGTCAACTTTTTAATGAGAACTCTTTTCTTTTGCGTAGTTCAGGGGATTGGTGCTGCATTTACTGTATTAGTGCTATGCTCACTTTTTAAAAACCTCACTATACTTACTTTTTTAAAACTTCAAAGCTCTCACATCACATTTTCACTTGTAATAAAATAAAAGTGTTGGTAGATAGAAAAAGTCAGATAAAAATTATATTATAATCAATATTTATTCTAAAATACAGTTGGCTCTTTTCCTTATTTATGGCATGACTGAATTTTTTTACCTGGCATTAATAATTCAGTTTAAATGCAGACAGAGTTCTGCACCCTTTGAGACTGTATGGGAAGAGCCTCTGAAAAAGCTGACGTTTTTATTGTCTTGAAAACTCACTTTAATTAGGGATAAATATACGTTATGACCACCAAAAATGTAAAATAATATGAAAAGTTAAATGGATGTCTTACTAAGGTCTTGACTCCAGATCAGTTAAAAACAAATGCCAGCATTGGTAAATCATGATTTTGTATCTTTTGCTTGTGTGACTAACCTTATTTCACATTGGGGGGGATTGCTGGGGGATTCTGCTAAAGTATCTGATTTTTTTTTTTTTTTTTTTTTTTTATCTAGGCATTGAAGGTCCTGAGAACTGCAGAGTTTGCTCCTTTTGTTGTTTTTATTGCTGCACCTACGATTACCCCAGGCATTAATGAGGTATGGCGTGTTGCAATCTAATGTCCTATCAGAGACAGACTTAAGGATGAGATTAAAATATGCAGATAAGACTCTCTAATTGTTTCTTTGTCTGTAAATGGAGAGACAGACAGTTGCTGGTAGCATTATTAAGTTGATTGAGATGTATTTATCATTTATTAACTGATTTTTGTAATTCAAAATATGAACTTCAAGTTGAAGGATCCACATGATGTGTTCTAAGAATACATATTCTTTTATTTCATTCCCTGCCCTAGCTCAAAGATCCATTTCCAAATCATTGACAAATCATTAGCCCAAATCAATCAATTCTGAGTTGCAATGCTAGCACTAGATTACAGCTGGCCCGCACTGAAGAAATGGGTGTGTGTGACTGTGCTGTTATCCCACCTGCATCTTTTAGTATTTTTTCTATACAGCAAATATATAGCAGAAATGGGCTTGTTAATTTCGAAGACTGTTCTCTAAGAATTGGAAGCTTTGACCAAAGGGGTAATTGCTGAGTCCTGAATTTCCTACTTAGTTTTTATAGTGTATCATCTGCTCTGCAGATTGCTTTTGATTTCAAAGATGATATCAAGCAATTCTGGATTTAGTTCACAACAGGGCAAATAGTATTTATACAAACATTTTATCTGCTCAGTCTTTTTTAAACCATGATAATTAAGGTATTTAATCAATTCGATATGACCATGAATCTGTTCCAAATCTCCTAGATGTCTCCTTGATCACACAAAAATAAAGTCAGAAGCCCTGTCTCTACAACCTGTTTCTCTAGAAATTTAACTACAATATTATAAGTATGAAACTATGACACCACTGCAGCGGCTTGCAGGAAAATAAGGAACAAGACAAACACATTTAAATGCAAATACCCTGAATGATTATTAAAATAGCGAGTGGAGAGTGAAAAGCATCGGCCTTGAGCTGCGATTTTACTGGCAGCTGAGGCTTCCACTAGTTCACTGTTGCTGAAGGGCGCGATTCTCTCTAACTTGCTTCTGGGACATACGCTGCCTGTCTGCACTGGCCATGGCACTTACCAGATCCTTCAGTGTTACGTAGCTCTAGGTTGGATTTTTGTCCCTTTTCAAGCAGCTCACAAAGGCTCTGACAAGCACCTCTGCCAAAACAAGCAGTGAAAGCTTATAGCCAGGAAGAGCGATGGGAGGGGGGAGGAAGCATGTTTTAACTTTCACAGCAGTAAGTTATGTCATTAAACTGTGTCTTAACGGACCCATACCCTAACTGGCGAATGTCACGAGCGTACAGACGAAGATCCCTCAGAACATCACAATCTGCGATGTTAGTAAAGTGAGAGTTTGTCTAACTGCTTGTGTTGGCGTGCGCTATAAATCAGTACGATCTTGAGAAAATACTAAAATTTTGTATTCTACGCTGAATTCGCCTTTGTGCAGGCAAATGGCATGGCATCACTTAAAAAACAGTTAGAATCAATCTTAGGATGTGTCAGGCAAGCATTGCGCTCACAGCAGTGCTCAGGCAGCTGGGTACTCTGTGGGGTTGTGAATTGCCTGGGTTTGTTGCCTCTACCTGTGTCTCAGCTCCCAAACAGCCGTCCTTGGCCTCACTCGTCTGCCAGTGATACTCAAGTTTTAATTTTCCAGCTGTAGGATATAATACAGAGACATTTGGGACAGCTCATCTGAGAGAGAAAATGTTTTGCGCGGAACACTGGGAAGAGGACAGAAATGTACCTTTTACAGTAGTGGTGGGGAAATATTTGTTCATGCCAGAGAAAGATTAGTAGAAGTCAAGTATTGTGTTCTAAATATTTGCATTAACTCTGTAAGACTGTGTCTTTATTTTAAGTTCCTGTGACTAAAATCTCTGTGCACGCTCAGGCACATGAATTGCTGAACTGGAGCCGCATGTATAAAGCATGCTAATATGTGAAGCCATTAAACTTAAGGAAAGGGGGGGCCAGGAAACGGTAATAGCAACAGACCTTAGCCAAATACAGGATCCTATTTTCCAAGGTTTACTGGGCTGCACGAAGGGAGATAAGCAAATTGTGCCTGTGTATTAGCAGCCTGCAAGGCAGCGAAGGAGGGTGGAGAGTGCGTGTCTCATGTTTCCCATTCATGCTTCCTTTTTGAAAGGTTCATTTGCATAATGAGTATCCCTTTCTGTTTATCCTCATATCCTCCTTTGTTTATTTTACTTATGCTTTTTGAGAACACCTCTGTAAATGACTGTCCTTTTTTCCCCTTTTATGTTTTCTTAAATTTCACCTTTGCTTTTCTTTTCATTTTCCTGCACTCGTACTAATTGTACATAGCTGCCAAAATGGTGCAGAAAATTGCCTGTAAGTACCAGCTAGGGGCTGACAAGGTAGTCCTGGTTATTTCAGTAGTTTTAGAACGTAGATATGCTCATTCCCATTCAACATTACTTTCGCCATTGGAATAAAAATTTAATGTAATAATGACTTCAGATATCTGCGTTAAAATTACCTGCTAGTTAAAAGAACCTTGAGAGTAAAATTTCTACCCTCACAGCTGCGCATCTGAACTTTGTGGTAAAATCAGTGCAGATGCCTCTGTCTTGAGACACTTTATCATAGAACACACAAAATATCTCAATAACCAAGGACCACACAGCAAGAGTTAGGAGACAAAGTATTAGGCTTTCCAACTGAATGTAGCAGTGCACTATGAGCAATTCTGCAAAGCACAAAACAAATTTAAATCATATAGGAAATCTCCCAGAGTGTACCCACCCGTCTATTCACAAAGGAAACTTAAATCATATTATCGCTGTGCTGAAACGGAAAGAGGAGGGAGCATATCAGCAAACATTGGAGTGGTTCCTCCTTCCTCCAGCTGTTTTCTACCTCCCATTGCCCAAACAGCAGCAAAGAGGAGTTGACAGGCTCCACTTCTTTGATCTAAATCTTTATTAGGCCATGTGTAAATCTTTATGGAGCCAAATTCTTCTGAAATCTAGCTACACTTCCTCCCTTCCTATAGCCAAAGAATAAAAAGAGTTTTTCTGAAGAAGTTTGCAGTCCACCAGCTGTTTAAACTGAGGAGAATTTCTTTCTGTTGGAGCAAAATTGGCAAAGGCCTGATGTTGTGTTTATATGTTGTTCGCAAGCTTAGTAGGGAATGTTAGTAATTTGTTAGGCTGTGCTTTGCCTGTCACAAGAGGCAGCTATTGTCCTATGTAAGTTAAGGCCAAAAAAAACCAGCCCTCGGAGACTGAAGATACCACTGGTGGCCATTACGCACAGGGAGAGATTTTGTGGATAAAAGCCATGTTTCACTCCTTTCTGTCCCAGCTATGGAGAAGAAGGAGAGAAGACTAGGAAGGTGAACCAAATTCTAGCCATAGGAAAGAAAAGTCTGTTCCAATAATGGGGACACTCCAAGTAGACCCGCATAAAATGCCTATTACATGAGAGCTGAGGGAAGACGACAGATGTTCTGCTCCCAGATGTGAAATTATTGAAGTTGTGGCCATTCATTTATCTGTCTTCAGCTATCTGAATGTTTTGATAATTATCTTCTTTCTTGACACTATTAAGAGCACAACTGCAGAAGAATATTGTTCTTGGAGAATAATCTGGGGTGTTCACTATTCAAGATTTAATTAAGAAACTTGACAGAAACTGAGAGGAAAAATTTTGAGGACGTGTTAGCTTCAAAGATTAATTTTGGCATTCAAGTCTTACAGACAGAGGAAACGCTTATCCAAGTCTGACAAGCTTTTGAATTTGCAAATACTCTATCACAAACACAGGTGAAATTTGGCCCCAGAATAAAACCAAGAACTTGTAATCTCCTTTATTTCTGCAGAATTTGAGAAAGTTTGAACCCATTTGAAGATTGTTGCAATGGCCTATCCCAAACTTATTACTGCCCCTAAAAGTATGTGAAAGAAATAATGTTTTACATTTCCAACAGGCGAGGAAATTTAGATATTCTAAAATATAACCCACTTCGATCCCAATAAAGTTGGATCTAGGAGCAGCTAAGTCAGGGGAAAAAAATTAATGAGGTTTTGAAACTCTAGGTTTTGTGACATCTTTGTGTACAAGGCAAATATTAATATTCATTCTTTACCTACCAGCTGTTTGGGTTTTTTTAAATGAGGTAGCTGTAAGTCTTTCAGATTTTCATGCTGTCAGTCACAGAACGATAGATGCTTTTGTGAGAAAAGTTCATTCACATACTTGTAGTATGTGTAGTATGTAGAAAGATGACACTGATGGGGAATCTGAATAGCAGTTTAAAAGCTACATATGACTTAACTGTTCTAAGGCTTCATGGGGGTTTTTCAGTGATAGCCTTGTGCTATGAGACTGAAACTCTTTTAAAGGTGCAATGTGATTTTGCTAAGTCTGGCTTTAAATGTAAAATTAATCTTAGCTAGGTATGTTTAAAGCACTGAAAATATTCTGCTTGACAAGTATGATTTTTTTTTTTTTTTCCCCTCTGTAGGTCAATTTAAACAGAAAAGTTTAGATCCTCAGGTGATACAAGTTGATGTATCTTTTGGAATCTCTGAAAAGTTGTCAGATTACCTAACTAGGTTTTTGGCTTAAAGATACTAGGCCATATGAAATCTTCCACAAACATATTTAATATTAGTATTGATCCATATTGTTCAATTTGATAATAGCATAAATTAAATTTGCATGCGCTCGTATCTTCTACAGAAGTCCCAGGCATCGCTGGCGATGCATAATGGGTCCGTACAAGGAGCATCCCCTGTAGAGAAGCACATGTGAGAAGTATTTGTCTGACTTTCTTTGAATGAAATTTGTAGTAGTTATTATCCAAGTGAGGGTGACGTTCCCCGCCCCCCCCATTTGGGGCTGCAGCTGCAGGAGGGAAGCAGAACTGTAACTTCGGGACAAAACTTCTCCTCCAGAAGTGGCTGGTTTCGTAGCTACGGGGAAAGAGAACTGTCTCAGCGCAGGTTGCTCCCTTCAGAGGACCTGAAAGCCACTGTTCCACAAATACTTGTCACCGTAATTACAAATACTTGGGAAGTTTAAACAGCAAAAAGGGCAGGGTTTCGTATTAGGTAGATAAAAATCCGTTCCCGGAATAGTTTCTTGTGAAAACAGCTATAGGCACTGTGTCTGTACTTCCTGCAGGCTAAAACTCTGTTATAATAAATTGATTGATCAAGTAGGGTGACCCTATAGATACTACAGAGCAGCAGGAAAAAAATACCGTTCATATTTAATTTTGCCCCATATCCACCCCAAACTTGTGGGGCAGGAAGGACTTGATTACTTTCTTGTGGCTATTTCAAGGTTCCTGAAAGCCGCAATTTTTTTATTTTATTTTATTTTATTTTTTTTAATTTCTAAGGGAATCTGCAGGAAGAGAATTCAAATTTATAATTGCTGCAGGGCCCTAGAAAGACGCCATTTGCAATCCCGCGCTCTCCGAAGGGCAGACCGCACTAACAGAGCCCATCGCCGTAGCGTTGCGGCTGCCCAGAGGCCGGTCCCACGAAGTAGGATGCACTTGTTTCTGGAAGGGGGCTGGCGGAAAGCCACGGAGGTCACCGGTCTGCTGTCGCTGGCCCTTCCTGAGCGCGGGCGGCGTGCTCCGTCTTCAGGGTCTCGCGCTGAGAGGTGCCAGGCATGGCACGCTCAGAGATAGGAACCAGAGAATAACGCGGAGTGAGAACTTCCGTATCAGTAAATGATTATTAAAGGAAGTAGACCCAGAAGACTAATGTTGAACGGTGAAGCATTACCAAAACTGGGAACGGCTGATCCCTGGCAATATACCTTCTCCTGTTTCTCGTGTTCTTACCCGGACATAGGTCTAATAGTTCATATTTGTGCACTTCGTATGTTCTATTCATGTATGGTCTCTGTTGCTCCGTGTCTGTGCTGCTTCTCTAAGCTTCCATCCTCTGCCTTGCTTTTTTAATTGTAGACTTGTGCTTTGTCTCAAGTAACGTCAGTAACTGAGTGCTTCAAGAGAGAAATTGTGCCAGTTCTCCCGTGTGATTTCCATAGATGTAGGCGGGGGACCTAAACCACCCAGGCCTCCCTAAGGCTTTTTTGCCCGTTTCCTTCTCCGTAAGCAAGAGTTAGAAAGCCGTTGTAGAAGAGTACGAAAGGATCCAATGTCTCTCTCTCCCATTTTCTTTTCTGACCGCCGAACAGGATGAATCTCTTCAGCGCCTGCAGAAGGAGTCAGAAATCCTACAGAGAACATATGCACACTACTTTGACCTAACAATTATCAACAACGAAATTGATGAAACTATCAGGCACCTGGAGGAAGCCATCGAGCTTGTGTGTACAGCCTCACAGTGGGTCCCGGTCTCCTGGGTCTACTAGAGCGGTCATGAGAGAATTGAGGGGGGGGGGGAAATAAATCTGTCATTACTGGGAACCACCTCATACATGGAAAACCTCTTTGTTATTGACCTTGTGTCAACAGGTCTTGGCCCCTAGAGACTACCTAGATGTAGTGTGACCTAAATTTATAATTATTGTCATGTCCAAATAGATAGGAGGAGGGGGGAAAACAAATTAAACACTAATTTAAAGAGACAGTATCTTTTTTTTTTAATCATTTCTCCTAAACTTTAATAAAATGTATCTTTAAATATATGTATTATTCAGTCCTTTGGAATGTTATATTTTTGGAAATCATAGCTTTTTATTTCAAGGGCCCCTAAAAACTGCACAAAATAGATGCTGCTTTCTATAATCTATTTTAATAGTAATAATAATATGATTCTGTTACCTTAACTTGGGGGTGGAACACTACATTCTTTTTAGAGTCTGATTTTATGGATTGGAATACTTTGCTTTCCTTTATTTATTTGAAATAATTAGCCTAGTGGTTACGAAACAAATTCATGAATTTTAAAGGCCTTTCTTTGCTTTTTTTTCCCCCTAGGATAGTATTTTTGAGTACTTTTGAGTAACATCCAGATAATGTGATACTGTCTCTTTGAAGAACTCTGTAAAACTTTTAGAAATTTGAAATTGGGTCTTGACTCTTAATGCATGTGGACAGTCGCAAGCGTTCATGCCGTTGGTGTATCTGTGTTGAAAAAACCTGTAATCTACAGCAAAGTACATTCCGTTCATGGGAACACGTACCCAAGGGAATAAAGTAAAATATTATTCTGACTAAGTTGTAAACCTATGCACATCCCTTGCATTTTGGGCAACTTTATAAAAAAAAAACAAACAAACTGATTTTTATTAATAATAATCATGTAGTGAAATGTGTTTGTAATTTTGTCTCAATTTAATTTGTTGTAAGGTGGGAGGGGGCAATTACTGGTTTCACCATTTCAGATCTGTGTTGTCTGAGAGTATTAACGTTTTAATTAAGTTTAAGCAAAGAAATGCTGATTTTTAATATGTATGTAATTGTTAAAAAATGCACACATTTTAAAAAAAAAATACTGTGCAATGAAGAAACCAGTTTAGGCATTGCGATAAACTGACTATTCCAAAAGACTCATCTGCAACAGCCCTGTAAATTCCTTTAAAAATGGTAATTGACTCTACAGTCTGACCAATTTTTTTTTTATTTTAAATATACTTCCTTTTATGTGTTCAACAATTAAATGCTTTTGGGTCCTTCATTTCATTGCAGGGAGTTTCAAGAGCAAATCAGTGACTCTTGCAGTGAGAAAGGGTTTCTTAAAGTCTTTTAAGGGAAGGCCCTGGTAGGGGCACAGCCTGCAGTCCGTGCCAGGGGCTCTGCTCCGCCTGCATGAGCACAAGTTCAACTAATTTACAATTAGAGCCCAGCCAAGTCAGAAAATATAACCATGTGCTGACCTGATGTTTTGTTTCCCTTCTCCATGCTCTCGCTGGCCCAGATGGTTTGCATTTTTTTCTGAAAACGGTTAACAGAAGCAAGCATTGCCACCAAGAGGTGTTCCTTAAAATGATTTATCTTAAAAGCTTGGTTGGCTGTGCTGTTGTATAGTATGAAGTTCAGTGTTTATATGAAAATGGTACAGTGTGCTCGAAGGATTTATCCTACAGTTGAGCTGTCAGCTGTAACCGATCTGTGGGCTGTTCCGGTTGTTTGGGACCACTGCACGTGTAATCGGAAAAGGTTCTCACGGTTGAGCCTTTATCACAGGGGTAATTATCATAACGTGCACAGGCTGCTAATTTCCTCCTACCTACTCCTACTGCAGGTCAGGTGGCCAAAACCTCTGTTCTTCTAAAATCCTTAGGTGAAATCGGGCTCCAGCTAGGCGTCCCAGCCAGCCAGCTCAGGCAAGGTGTTCGTTTTGCGCAGCGTTCCCAGCACAGCTTGCAGCCTGCAGCGCGGACGGGAACTTGATCCGTCGCTTTACCCCACCCGCTGAACCCTCTCACGCTACAGCTGGCATCACCGTTCTGCGACTGCGTCCCAAAACAAGTACCGGAACCGAGTCCCTTGAGTTTGTAGTTTGTGGAGTGTTGGAAACTTGCCGATGAGAAACCGTGTTTTACTCGCAAGCCAGCGAGTAGGAGGGAACCTACTGGAGTAATAGAATTTAGCCCCTGTAAAAGGGGTAGGTACAAACTGTGAACTATTTAATGAGTAAGAGGTAATTTTTCAAGTGGCCGTACCGTGTCATTTTACTGCTGGATGAACCTTAGCGGGTGTTCCTGTAGATCAGCTGTTGCAAGGGTAGTATTACACACTAGCTGAGCTCATTGAAGCGACAGGTTCATTCACTCTCAAAACTACCTCTTTTCCCAGTAAAGCACAAAGATGAGAAGACCTACTGAAAATCAAGCAGAGGAGTGTTTCTGATGTTAGAAATACAAACTTCTTCTCTGGTAAGCATTGCTATCTGACTTCAGTGGCACATTCTTCATCTCAAATGTTTATAGCATTAAACAGGTAAAGTAATTTTGGTAATTTGGGTATAGTCCACCATAAGCGTTGCGACTACACATTTTGGACTCTGTTAATGTGAATTTCTTGGAGCTTCTGTGTATTCAGCCTGTAAGGAAAGAAAACTCATGAGCACTCAAGGGTGCTTCTGCCTTACGCAGGTGACAATAAGTAGTGATTTCATGTAACTAATATGCTTTTCTTCTCTTAAGTGGAGCTGCCATTCAGTTAATATTACATAGTAGAAAGACTAAACTGGACAGCGTTGTTTCTTTTATTCTCACTGTATAGCCTTTTATCAAGAGACAAAAACTGTAAAGCACATCAGTCCTGCCTCCTCTCTACCGCAGACTTTTTTCCTTGTAGGAACCTTCAGTAGCAAAAGATTAACTTGGAACTCCCCTAGGCTTTAAGTACAGCTGAACCACGCAGCCCAGTGAGCTCCGTCAGCCGGTTTCAGCACAGTCCCAGGAAGCACAGAGCAAGCCCAGGACTCCTCAGTCTGCCCGATCCACGCCTCCCCTGCCTCCTGCCCTGCCCGAACCCTTCTGATGCCTCTCTGTTATTTGCATGGTACGTAGAGGGCAAAAGGCTGCCATAAATTCAGCTGGAAGTTTCACCCGCGTAGGGAAGACTCATGCAGGTGCGGCACTAATGTTACGATTTTTTTTTTTTTTTTTTTTCAATCTTCAAGTGGAGAAGGGTCCTCCTAGTGCTGTAAATATCACTGCATTATTTAGAGCGCCTCTTGGACTTCTCTAAATTTATGCTGAGTGTGACCTCAGAAGCAGCCCTGGGATTGGGAAGAAAAAAATATTTCTGTTTGCCCCTTTTATACTTTATTTTTGTACAGGGGGCTCATAGACTTGTAAAGAAAACCTGATCTTATCAGTATGCTGCCTCTCAATCTGACTGATGCCTGTGATTTCAAGGTGTTAAGTTGGTCCAATAAATGTTCATTAACCTCTGCTTCCATTTATTTAATAAAAGTACAGTAGGTTATTCAATGTCTAAGAGTGGTAAGATTATTGCTTTGAAACGGTAACCTAGTTCAGACAATCCTGGACACTGTCACGCAACCCATAGCATGCAACTCTTTAAAATCAGAGGGACATTTCTGATCTTATCACCAAAACTTAATTCCTCCATATATTATAGCATTGGTTTTCTTTTCCTTTTGATTTGGGTCAGGAGAGATGCCCCACTAGGCTCCAAGTGAAAATATCGCTGCCTACTTCAGAAACTTCATTAGCAAAGTTACTTAGTTGGTTCATCATCTGTTTTTATATGCTAAATCGACAGAGTAGGAGCTAAAGCAGACACCACAAAAAGTCTGCTTGCTTTATGTAAAGCATATTAATTTTCTTAATCACCCTGTCTTTCAGACTAGTTTCTTCACTACTTTTAATGAGCTAAGAGATACCCGTAACTCTTACCAAGGAGACGGCTGCACATTATGTCAAATAGTCACATATAAATTAAAAGAGCTGCACAACAGGAAATATATCATAGACAAGCAGGGCAGACGTAACTTCTGAATGATGAGTGCCTTGGGTGCTTACCATGAGGCTGAGTACACAAGCTGGAGTTAGAGGAGAGTGTATTTTTTTCCAATGCTACACAAAAAAATACAAAGCCAGCTCCAACATTTAAATGTTTACCATGTGGGTTTTTTCACTTGCTGATACACACAGTTAGTGCACTTACAGTAATTTCTACTTTCTTCCCCTTAAGTGATTTTTAGCAGTCTTCTGCTCCAATCCTGTGAAAGCTGGACTGGAGCAAGTACGGAAGCTTTTTGACTTTTGATTTACAGGAAAGACGTGGACCTGTTGGAGCAGGTCCAGAGGAGGCCACAGAAATGATCTGCTGTGAGGACAGGCTGAGAGAATTGGGGTTGTTCAGCCTGGAGAAGAGAAGGCTCTGGGGAGACCTTCTTGCAGCCTTCCAGTACTTAAAGGAGGCTCGTAAGAAAGATGGGGACAGACTTTTTAGCAGGCCCTGTAGCAATAGGACAAGGGGTAACGGTTTTAAACTAAAAGAGGGGAGATTCAGACTAGATCTAGGGAAGAAATTTTTCCCGATGAGGGTGGTGAAACACTGGCACAGGTTGCCCAGAGAGGTGGTAGATGCCCCATCCCTGACAATGTTCCAGGTCAGGTTGGACGGGGCTCTGAGCAACCTGATCTGGTTGAAAATGTCCCTGCTTATTGCAGGGGGGTTGGACCAGATGGCCTTAAAGGTCCCTTCCAACCCAAACTGTTCTTTTTTCTATTCTATGATTTGGGCTCAAAGGCTTTTAAAGCCTCTATTCCAGACCTGTACATTACAGAAATAATTAATTCTTACCTCAGAAATATGTTTCCCACAGCTGTAATCTCCGTTAAGATTTTAGACAGCTAGAAAGTTGATTGCTTTTCATATGTCTTAACCTTTTCTTTTTAAGAAAAAATAAAGGGGAGGAAGGGGTGTATGCACGTCCAAGCATTCTGCTGTATCGCTTCTTAGCAACTGGGAAGGTTAGTAACAAGCAAATTAAATTTGGCCACATCTCTACCATATATTCTTAGGATTAATATATAACTTGAGCTTTATTTTGTGTTGTGGAGGATAGCTGAACTAGTAGCGTACTCCACGCTGTATCCCTGAAAGAGTTCATGTTGAGTATTAGCAAAGTAATAGCACGTTTTCCCTTATCAGCAGCCATAGCTAATTTTTCTATTTGCATAAAGGAAATACCCATGGGGAAGTGAGGCATTTGCTTTTTTTTAAGTGTAACTCATCTTGAAGCTGAAACAGGAGTCTCTTTTTCTCCATTGCCAACCATTCAGATGGAGTCTTTGCCTTCACTGCTTTTCACAAAATGGTCATGGTGGTGGGGCAAGTGCTGAAAACATCAGGGGTATCATGCTGAATGTCACAGTTAACGAACAAGGGATGATATCTAAAGCATGGACAGGCTTTTAAAAGAGAGATGCAGCAGAGTAGGGGGAACTCCGTGATGTCAACCCATGCCCAGATCTGCTATGGAACTAATTCATTGAACGTGTGAAAAGAAATTTGAATCGATACAAAACTAGCAGAATTGTCTTACACTTGGGTCCATCTTTATGTAACCGTGGGGAGGGGGAACGGGTGGCATCACACTCGGAAACCTGATTTTAAGGTACGCTTTCCTAGCAGTTGGCAAACACGTCTTACCCCTCTGTGCTACTTGGTATCCTTATTACAAAAGATCTTTGAAGATTCATCTCCATGTTATCCAGAGAAAATTGAGGAGAGAGAGATTGCTGAATAGTTTTGCAGAGTATTTTATGTTAATCAACAGTAAATATTACACGTTACAACAATGTTACAGCACATAATACTGAATGCTGAAGAATCATTCCCAGGCTTACACAGAAATTAAGTTTTTAAACTCAGTCCTTTTTCACTAAATTCAACAATTCAGATGTCTAAGCATCTCCTTACTCTGCTTTACGCCTGTTTCTGTTTACTAGGATGGATGTAACAAAAGCAACAGCTCTGTGTCAAAAGCATAGCTCAGTAAAGATTTATGAAGTTACCCAGTAGGTGAAAGAAGATAAATTCCACAGAGTTATTTCCT